AGATAGATGGGAACAGACTAACAAAAACACAATAGTATGTAGACAGAAAGATGAATATATACTTACACACACACACACACACACACACACATATATATATATATATATATATATATATATATATACATGTACAATAAGAATAAACAGTCAAGAAAGAATGAATTCACAAATTAGTGGTGAACATATTTTTTTGCTTTTCTTTTTTAGAAAAAAAAAATATCATTTTATTCTGTTTTCATTATTGAAGCTCGTCATCAAAATCACATTCATGGAGAAAATCAAGAAGAAAGGCCAAAGTGGGCAGCCAACGTTTATCCACGCAATGGTCATCAGACTCATGCAGTAGCAGAGGTTGTTAAAGTGGCATGTGAGGAATATAATGTCCAGAGAAAGTGGACAGCTTATCTCAGCAGAAAAACGGTCAGCACAGATTTTGGCCACTTTGGTCATTCGTTTCAGGCGAAATTGAAAAACATCAGTTAATCAAAATATTCCAGATGAAAAAATTTTAAATAAGTAAAAGATTATTTGTTTATACATTGGTAAAATTACCATACACATTTATTTATAAATATAAACAGACTGAGATAGATAGATAGATAGATAGATAGATAGATAGATAGATAGATAGATAGATAGATAGATAGATAGATAGATATGAATAGTCTGACATAGATGGATATGCATAGAATGAGATAGATAGATAGAAATGATAGATAGATTGATTGGAAGGAAGAGATAGATGAACAGGCTGAAATTGATAGACATATAAATATGAACAGACTGAAATATATATACATATATATATATATATATATATATATGTGTGTGTGTAAAAATATATAGAAAATGGGAAAGAACTCATTAGGTAAACATTCCAAAGTTCTTTAGTATTTTTGTTTTTATTTTTAAAAAACTGTGCTTGATACAAAAGTAGAGCCTAAATATAACTGTTTATTTTAAAATATGATTCCTTCACTACAAAAGAGTTCTCATATTTCAAAACAAGAGCCGAAAACTTCAATATAATTATTTGAATTAAATTGAATTAAAGTACTAAGCTCTGGTATATATATATATATATATATATATATATATATATATATATATATATAGAGAGAGAGAGAGAGAGAGAGAGAGATAATAAACAAAGATAGATTGATTTGAACAGAGAGTAACAGATCAATAGCAATAGATAATGAACAGATAGATAAATAGATAGATCAAATTTGCACACACATCCCAACAAAGCACACACACAGAAACTAGCTTTCATATATAGAAAGTATATAAGATATTAACTGACTGATAACGTGTCCAAATAATATATATACACTATACTTCAAAATTTTGACACACTTGGTAATTATTTTACATGGTTAAAAAAGTGAGACATCATTTTTTATTAGAAATTTTATTATGACAAAAAGAAAAAAAGCATTTTACGATTAAAATTTGCTCTTGTCAAAATATCCTCCTTTAGCCTTGATTACTGCAGCACAAATTTTTGGCATTTGTTGCAAAAAGTTTCTCAGAGTGTAAATTTGCTAATTGATTCCATTCTTTTTAATGATTCTAAGTACTCTTTTCATTTTTTTCCATTCTTCTGTCACTTTCATCCCAGGCTAATTCTGGCGGCTGCTTCAAACTTTTGAACAGTAGTATATATATATATATATATATATATATATATATATATATATATATATATATATATATATATATATATATATTATTATTATTATTATTAATATTATTATTATAAAAAGGCATGAACACTGAAAATTTCATGAGTTTATATTTATTTTGCTAGGGTCATAAAACAGACACAATTCATCAGAACTTCAAATTCAAAAAAAAGAAACAGAAAATATTTCTTCAGGTAAATAACAAAATTTATATGAAAGTGTGTACATGGAAGTGGGGAAAAGGTGGAAATATATATATATATATATATATATATATATATATATATATATATATATATATATATATATACATATTTAATGAAAAACAGACCACTTTAAGGTACCATTACAATAATTTATTTCACCAAAATCCTTCTAAATCCTTCTAAAGGACTCTGGACCAAGTTCTTCATAACTTAACTATATATATATATATATATATATATATATATATATATATATATATATATATATATATAAAAGGTAAGATTTTCCTTAATATTAGTTATAAAATCACTGCAGAGATTCTAATAAAACTAATAACAGCAATAATAATGATGATGATAATAATAATAATAATAATAATAATAATAATAATAATGATAACAAATATAGAAAAACAAAATAAAAATAATGTATTTGAAAATAATAATTAGTCTAACTAATAAATTTAAAATTAATCAGACAAGAGAATAATCCAGTATTTGTCTACTAAGATAACTTTATATATATATATATATATATATATATATATATATAAACAAACCTTTTAATATTATATAGTTTGTGGTCTCAAATCTGGATCAAATTAT